AGGGGGGGGGGGTGATCGGAGATCAGATCTCCGCATTTTCAACTGTTGGTTGGTAGAAGTAAAAAAAACGTGTACATTACACCCCTGCATGTTTTTTTTTTTCGGATCTTGATGGAAGAAGAAAACGAAAAGAAGCGGTGAGTGACCTCGCCGCACTCCTGTCCGGTGCACTTGTTCATGTCTTCTTGTTGGTCGTCACGTCTGCCTGTGTCTTCTTTCTCGCTGCCGTGTGTTTCGGTATTGTGACAAGGTTGGCGGTTTTCAGGCTTTGCTAGGTTGGGCACGTTACTTCACGTTGGGTTGTTGTTGACCAATCAAAAGCTGCTGGTGGTGATGCCGTGGGATGTGATGGGTTGGGGCGGCACGTGGCGTGGTCGAAGTTTTTCTCGACTCCCCGATGTTGGTGTGCGGTCGTGTTGAGGAGAGGAGGGGTCACGCAGTTGGCATGTTCGCCGTGGTCGGATGACCAACTCGCCTCGTCTTTCGCGGTTGCTGTGGTTGTGGTTGTGTTAAGGGTTTGGGTTAGGGTTAGGGTTAAGGTTTGATTCCTGGGCCCCTTTTGATCCTCTCGGAAGGGTGAAGAAAGAGAGTTCGCCCACGAAAATGAATAAATCCCAGATGTCATGCATGTGAAGCACGCTCAGAGCGTCGCTACCGGCTGGGTGACCGATTGACTGGTCGCTATCCCGCACGAGGTTATGAAGTGGTATATACATTGGTTAAGATTCGTGGCGGGGGAGTTCACGTGCTGCTCCTTGTCGAACTTCACACTTCAATGCACCAAAATGAAGCTTCTTGTGTCACCGAAATCACCCCCCGCCCGCTNGATTGGGTTTTCGTCGCTTGCCAACAACGTTGTAAAACAAGCCAATTCACTTCGTGAAGTCGGCAACCAGGTTACCGTTTGTTTTTTTTTTCCTCTGTTTTTTTTTTTGCGGTAACCATAATGGTGGTCAAGTAGATCATGTTGTGCGGGGTCGAGAACCCTCACTCGGCGCAAGGGGGATGATCGCACCACTTTGTGCTAAAATGGTCAAGCACCATCGAGGCAGTTACACAGTGTTTACAACTGTCTCTGGAAGTGAAAGCACCAGAA